CAATATCTTTCATTCATCAACACATTTCAACACTACACATCGGAATCACCATCAGAATAAAATAAAATTAAACTGTTCGAAATGAAAAGAAACCGTTGTGGAGGGGCGGGGAGGAGGCAACGGGGCCGTAGGATCAGCTGGTGGCCCATCCTTGCCAACAAGTTTGTCCATGACATTCTAGCTATTACTCAAAATAAATGAGCCTTTGTTAGGCATTAGAACTTTATTAACCATGATATGCAATAATCAAGTGTATAAAAAGTAAAAATTAAAGAAAATGTTTATTTTAATAAATGAGTACACAATTTTAAAGTTCCTACCAGCTCGGTGTTCTGCAATAATACAGTACAAGCGAAAATGTCATTTCATGGACGGAGCCTACAATTTAAGGCTTACGTTTTCAAAGCTGTATATTATGTCAGATACGCAAATTCTTGCCGCAGAAATCAGACAGCCAAACGAGGAAAAAATCTTATTGCAATGAGTCCAATGATGACGTATCAAGCGTGAAGCCGTTTTGGTTTGTTACAAAATATTCTCCTTATCCTCTGCATGTTGCACCGTTTCTCTTTTGAATTTGTGATAAAATAACTTTGTGCTGACAACATCTGCCGTTGGTCAAGCAATCAAACTTGACTGGTTCATTCAAACAGCTGGATTATTACTGATTCAAATGACACTGGGTAAAAAAAACAGACTATCGTTGGATTAAAGAAACATCAGACAGGATTCCAAAAGATCGAAAAACAGCCGATAGTAAGACCTCCAGATAGATGACAGGATGATCTAAAGGAACTAATCTGTGAATCATATGGACGAGGATCGCAGAGAACAGAAGTTTATTGCAGTCTTCATTCAGCAGTGCTTCCAAAAAACGACGATAATCAGGGTTACTGACTTACAACTTTTGGTGTCTCTAGCCAGGGAATCAGAAGGTCTTCCACCAAATATGCTCAATAACAAAAGAATAAATGGAAGATGACGACGTCGGGAAAGGAAATCAGCTCAAAATAAGTGGAGCCAAAACCACTGGAACGAAGAAACTGGTATGAAAATAAACAACGTTGTCAACACTCTACTTAGGGTTGAGGGAGGCTGGAGGAAGGTGAAAGATAAGAGCACTTCCCTGATCGACAAAGAACGTTTTACGAGAATACTGCGGAAGCAATAAAATATCAACCACGAATTTTTAATGGACGTTACACCGATGACAGAAAATCCGAACAACCGCAACTTAACGCTTATGTCTTATCAATGGTGCTGCCAAATCAGTCTTTTCATAAACATATATTAACAACCCACAAATAACAGGATGTACAATCATCAAGATAACGACGAATCAGTTGACAACTTCGAAAACCGGTTTCGAACGATGGTCTAAAGATGAAAGTAAAACCGCTACATCAGTAAATCAGCTGAAACATAAATTTCGTAGAAACGCTTCAATGACTAGATTGCAGTTCCGGTTTTGGTTGTAATAAAATGAAGCAATAGGCAAAAATGTTTTTTAACCACAATGCAAAAATTTTTTATAAAAAGTCCAAATGACGGACAGCATAGCAAATGAATTCAATGCCCACAATAGTAAAACTGTGCTTTTCAAGAGAAGAACAGCTGTGTAGCAAAGATTTGCAAATATAGAATTGTACTACAACAAAGTCTAATCGTTATCAGATGCAGCTGAAAAAACTGAAAGACCGCCAAAAGACCGCAAAGACACGCAAATTAAACACAAAAAATTATATGCGCTTGATTAAACTTAAAACAATTGCATTAAAATTATTTTAAAAAGACTTATAAAACCGGTCTCAGCAAAACTTTGGAAATATGACATTCAACATACATACCAAGCGTTCTTACATTTTGCATTTCCTTAAAATTTGTCTGTGACCAGTGAATAAACTGAACTTTTCCATAGGGGCTGTTCGAATATTTCCAGATATTATTTCTAGAGGCATCTTCTATTCATCATACTTTGGACAATGGGCAATTTTGAAAAGAAATTCAATCATTATATTACAATTTTCGCTATGCATTAAAATAACCAGTGCATTATTGGTTCTCTAAGAAACTGCTGCTTTTCGATACCGCCAGTATGAATAAAATCCTCGGATTCTTAACAACAGTATCACAAACTGGCAGTTTTCTAGTAATCCCATAACAAGGTCATTATACTAATATAATTCAGTGAATCAATTCAGTTTGTGTCTGAACAGAGTTTGCTTCGCTCTGCACAGGGATACTGTTTTCCATCAATATATTAAAGGAATAAAATAGTCTGGAGCAGTGACCTAAGCTGCATTTCATAGTTTCTCACTTATTTTGTTGCTCGTTTGACTGCCATTACCATCAGAATTTTCAGCTCTGAAATCGTTATGTTTTTTATGGTGAAAAGCGAGGTTGTTTTTAGACTGTGTTCAAGCACCAATTTTTCATTTTCAAGATTCGCATAGGGTGGTAAAAAATATATCAAAAGGATTTTTAACGATTTATAGTAACCTTTTGATCAACTTATACAGTATTGTCATAAGTTAGTAGTTTTGTTGGACGTCTAGGAAAGGTGCGCTTACTTCTTGAAACATGCATAATTCATTTATGTTTCTATAATCTTTTTTAAATATGTCGCTCTTTCCTTAATATAACATTGTAATCTATACATATCTGTTATTGAATTTCGTTATACTTCTCGTAGTTTTAACTGTTAGGCTAAACTATGAAAAACGTTTACCAGCCTTTCGATTTGTGATGTTTTAGCGTTTTTGCATTAAGGTGCATGTTTCATTTTGTATATATTAGTTTAATTCATTAATAATTTAGCGCTGTGTTATGAGATAGCTAATTGTGTAATAGTATTGAAGGGTGGAATCGGTTCCTTGCTGCTGATCGGAGGTGTGGGATTGACTTATAAGTTTTGACCTCGTATATTTCGAGGTAGGTAAAAGAATATTGCTTCCTGATAAACGATACGGAAGGGTATACGCTATGGTTGCTACCTAGCTGTTGACACTGCCTTTAGAATGAAGGCATTTCTTGCTAATAATATTGGACAGATAGTGCCATAAAACTCAAGGAAAGAATTGTGTTATATTGTTGCAGTCATTAAAGTGTAAATCAGGCCGGTGCTCTTGTTTTGGCAAGCTCTCGTTTTTCCTCTCTTTGTTTGCGATTGCAATATCCTATGCTGGAGAAGCTGGTGAGGTCCAGTAGATCTGAAACCGTTATTTTGTTAGGTTAAGGATTAATAACATTAAGTCTCGAAGCTGTTGTAAGGCAAATAATTTGATATGCAAAAGGTTTTGCGTACGGGTTTATTAAGAATTTTGGATCTGTGTAGCTGAGCTAATTATTAGTAATTATTGATTCCTAGTTCTGGTTGTTTGCTAAAGAGTGTAAATGCCATAAGCCCTCTACATCTCATAATGTGTGATTAATATGAGTTATCGTTGAGTTAATATATAATTAATATGAGTTAGTATATGGTGAGGAAGGTTTAATTGTGGCATAAACTTTGGCCGAGTAGGGATAAGGCCAGTTGTAAAAACGGATTTCGTATTTTGTGGTGGGGAAAGTTGACAGAGACTAGTATTACTCATCGTACACTGTTATATTTTATTCTCTTCTGGTTTAGCTACATACCTGAAAGCGTTTATTTTTTGCATAGTTATGCTGAAAACTGATACCCTGCTCTAATATGAAGCATTGATGGTATGTGCGCATTTAATCGCACAGACAGACGTGAAGTATCGCTGATCAGTCATTCAGGAACAGCTTGTGTACCTCCAGGAAACCATGCCTGAAAACCGTCAAGTTCCACATACTTTGTTGTAATATCGAATCAAGTGGTTAAATGATTCTAGTTGTTCAGATCAAGGGACGTTCGTTAGAGGCAGTTGTTTTCAAGATTTTGTTCTTCTGTTGTGTATTTATTTTAAAAAATAATAAAAATTATTGTTTCTATATCGCATAAAAATGTTATATCTTATTGTTAAAAAGTTGAATGGTGGATATGATTGTTACAGACATCACTAGAAAATCGATATTTAAGGTCTTAAATTATACTAATAACGTCTTGAGCAACATTGGATATTCTTCGGGGCATCGATCAGTTTTCCCCCGAAGAGGAGTAATGTTATTTGGCTTAAGCTGTAATGATGAAGTTATTAGAGATCTTGCTCCATTTGTCTGTAAGCATCGAATTTCCACCGTTTTCTTTTGAGTAGAAAAGTAAGAACCAATCGTTTTTCAACATTTTAACTTTTAGCTTGACATTTTGCCATTGATCGGATCACGTAAACTCTCAATATGGGGCACGAAAACCTGATTTGGTCGCATCCTCGTAAATATGGACCTGGTTCCAGAAGTTGGTATGTTTCAGGTTTTATTTTTGTTTTGCTCTGAGTTATTTTATATTGTTTCCGTTTACTCAAGATACTGTTTGCCACCGCATATGATTGCACGTTCATTTCGAGAATTGGGTTCTGACAGTTTTGTGCATTTAAGCAAAAATATTTCCGTAGTCAGTGTGTCATACTGTGTTCAGTGCTTTGCTTTGGTATTATTATCCATACATGTTAATAAAACCTGAAATGCTCACCGGTATAATGTTATAAGCATTCTAAAAGAGGTTAGATATCCTCATGCTTTTAACGCGGTCAGATTTAGTAAACTATGATCTGTATTCAATAAGACAATATTTGTAGAATTTTCGCCAGACAGAAACCAGAAGTAGGAACTAAGTAATTGCATGGAATTCTGTGATAAAATCGCTGCACTTGATTACTGTTATACAGACAGCGTCTTACGACGATGGTTTTTTCTCTCGGTTTACGTTAAACTATTGCATGAGAAGAATATTCTGAAGACCACTCGGAGTAAATGGACAGAATTAATGTAGCAGACGGTAAGAAACAAAAAACAGTAATTGTAAACTCCCAATCCGCTTCTTGCCTACACGTTGAAGGCGAGAAATGTAATACCAAGTTTGACTCAGTCAGTCATGAACATCTGTCAACACATGAATTGTTTTTGGGTTCTTAGTCCAAGTTCGATGAAACGTGTGTTGACTCAGTCAAAAGCTTTACCTCGCAGGTCAGTCTGATCGGATAGATTTTAGTGATATGAAATGATGCTGACACTGTCTGAGAGTTCTGTAACTATTTTTAGCCGTGTATGTTTCAATCATCATGGCCTTATCCGAAAATACGGCCTATTGCTATGCAGAAGATGCTTCCGCGATTATGCCGCTGATATTGGTTTCAAGAAGGTATAAATTTTGATAGATCATAAATTTCATAGATTTACTGTTTTTTCTAAAAACCTAAATTCGTTTAGTACAACTGATGGCTGTCGTGATCTGCAGTGAAGATTCTGATTCGGCCTTCTTGACTGCATTGTAATGAAGTGATTTGTGAATAAAAGTTGCTTCAGCGAATAGTCGGAAAATGAAGAAAAAATGTTTGTGTAAAAATTAAATCATTCACCAATAAGTGATATATTTTAGCATTAGTAACACGACTGAGATCAAAAGTCACTTACTAAATGACAGTGTTCTAGGCGGTTCGAAACCTAATCTAGTAAAAGTTTATGAGAGTTAGTGATAACTGTCAGTTCTTGATTCAATATTGTTTGCACATCAGGTTCTTTGGTGGTTTGCATAGAGAAACATAAGTTCATTTGCATTTCAGTACGATATCAAGAATAGTTTATGGCGTGCTGCTATTTAAATTCTCGTCTCAAACATGTAACCACTTCTGCCAAAGCTTCATGTACTTCATCGCTTTGACCAAAGTAGTTGTGCACTCTGCCTCTGAAGCAGCATGACGAAAGTAGTTGTAAAGAGGGAACGAGACAATCCAATAACTGAAATCGCAGAATATGTAGTGATATCGATGTGAACGCCGAACAACAGACCTATTGCATGGACAAAGGCGTAAAGCATTCAAATAAAGAAATCGGTAGCTTTAACCTAACGTTTGTCTAACTCATCAAAAGGACATAATCATTATCTTTCACAATGATACGACAAATGAAATACAAATAAACCAAGGCAGTACAGCTTTACAAAAGTATCGCAATAATGTACGCAGTATTTGGAAGATTCTTTGTAAATGGCTTACTTTAAACAATGCAGTTCTGTTGTGTTGTGCCTGGAGCGAGACGATCGATTTTCCTGGCGACAGTATTTTAACGATTACAATAATTTTTACAAACATGGGATGCAGTCCTGCGTTCTATTCACTGAGGCGTTTAAATACCAAGACGCTAACCCTGCTTAAATGGTCATCCTAAGCGTCTACAAGTAATGGGGCAGTATAATAGCGCTGTTTGTGAAATTTTTTACACAGCATTTTTGTCGTTTCAATTTAATATGATTATTTTTTATGTGATTACTTGAAACACAGTAAATAGTTAAGTTCGTATTCAGGGAGTGTGTAACCTTTGTGCGCTACGGTGTATCATGCGCAAAGATTTTGCATATAGCAAGCCATATGTAGGTAGGGTCAAACCTGGTGGAGTTGTCCTCCGGTTTATGTGGATGAGTTTCCAACGAG